CCTAGGGGCACACGGAGACCCCAGAGCTTCTCCTAGGGGCACACGGAGACCCCAAAGCTTCTCCTAGGGGCACACGGAGACCCCAAAGCTTCTCCTAGGGGCACACGGAGACCCCAAAGCTTCTCCTAGGGGCACACGGAGACCCCAAAGCTTCTCCTAGGGGCACACGGAGACCCCAAAGCTTCTCCTAGGGGCACACACCTCTTTTTCTATCCAGTCACCCCCATTCCGCAAATCTAAGCCTGTTGCCTAAGGAATAGGATTAAGATGTCACACGCCGAACTCCACAAGACAGTCTCCTTCCAAGGAAGGACGGAGCTTGTGTTACCCCAATACCGTCTCCAACAGCAAAGCAGCTATTCTGTTAAAATGACCAAAATCAGAGCACGCAAAACCCCAGAGGCGTAGGGCTGATGAACCGCCTCATCGGCTGTAAATGAAATTCACTGCGGTCTTCCTTCCTGATGGCTTCCGGAGGCGGCTCACCCCTCAGTGGCAAACGTCGCGTGGTTATCGGAACAGCTTCAACCGGCTGGCAAACCGTGCTCTGGGTAAGCTGCACACCCCGGGGTCAGTTTTCTCTTAGCTGGGAGTTTACTGAAAAAGTCTTAACCCAGAAGCTACTTTGTTATTTAAGGACTGTATTTAAATACCTCTGCCAAATCTTCTTTGAGCTTGTTGTATCGTTCCACATTAAAATGCTGGGTTTTGGATTTCCGATAGAAGTAGTGGAGGAACTGCCTGTCTTGAGCATCAGGGTAAACGTAGTCCTGGTGAAGAAAGGGCACACGGTTGGGGTTGGCAAGAAAACCGGGTAGGGAGAGGTCAGAATTATCTGCACAAATGAGTTTTCAATAGAAATTCTGCCTGTTTCAGATTCCTCTAGTTCATGTGGGGTGGGAGGGGGGCACTGGGACAGGTTCCCAGAGACGCTGTGGATGCCCCATCCCTGGAAGTGTCCAAGGCCAGGCTGGATGAGGCTTGGAGCAACCTGGTCTAGTGGAAGGTGTCCCTGCCCGTGGCAGGGGGTGGCACTGGGGGGGCTGTAAGGTCCTTTCCCACCCAAACCGCTCTGGGATTCTGGGATTCTATTTCTCAAATCCCTACTTTCAAGTCTGGGGTAATGGCGCGTCAGCAGCTCTCCAAAAC